TCATATTAAGCTATATTTAGTTTTAAAGATCTACTGTTTGTAGCCTAACCAGCTAACTTTGTTTAAGTTGTTTAGCATACTAAAAACCTAATACAACTCCCAAACCTCTGATTCATATAATCATTAATTATCCAGTGTTACAAACAAACAATGTCACTTGATCAATGTTGTGATTAGTGAGTCTATATAGTTTCATGTGAGTCTTACTTGTCACTCCAGGCACCGTTCCACTCGCCCATTCCCCACGGATTCAGCACTCTCACCAGCCTTACCGGTTTTCCTTGGCATGTTACCTGTTACACAGTGACACTTTTAATTCAAAATGCTTATGAACTCTTTAAACCCTTATCATGGGCTGATACTTATTCTGTGGGATGTCACCTAAACTCAGAATATGCCATATAGGTATTTCACCAGGATCATTATGAAATAACCTTTTACCACAGGACTGAACTGCCTGCACACAATGCTTTGAGTTAAATCAAGGACAACAAATTATTTCAAGAAACTACTCTTGTAAAATCACAGACCTGACGTAAGAGATACACATGAATGAGTACAAAAAGGACATACCAAAGGGTGGAGCTCATCTGTAGCTGAAGGCAATCAGTAAATAAACACTGGTCTACACAATTACAACTATGATTAAAAGAAGAACAAAGCGAGTCTGTTGCGAAACACCTTTTTTATATTATAAGCCTGTCAATATGGAACGATTATACTTATTATAGAACAAGAGTATTACCACTCAAAATCAACCTCTTGCTTAATGAAAACAGGTTCCAGAACAGAGCCTTGAGGGCACTACTTGGGAATGCAATAAAAAGTTAAATGTTTTAAAACAACATTTTTAAGTTATCAATTAAAATAGTGGTGTTTCTTTGGTGAACAAACTCAGAAAAGACTGCCGTTGCAAGACAACTAGATTAGATTTTTTTAAAGGGATTCAAGTATTTTTGTCATGGAATTGTCAAAGGAATCTATCTAGCTAGAAACTGACATTTAAATTTTTACACATTTGACCTTAAACACATTTTTGAAAGACATTTTGTGAAAACATCAAAATATGTGTCTCAAAAAGCTAGAATTGTGTATACAAAATTATATCACATTAATAAAATAAAGCAAAGATTACATAAAACAGAGGCCATGTAACTTAGCTTAATGCCTTTACATATAGTTCTATATATATATATATTAATTATTTGATACATTAAAAAATACAAATGGATGAGAATGAATGGCTTGGTTCTGAATTTTAAGAAATTAAGGGATGTGCTCCTAAAAGCAAAATTGGAACACAGTTGATCTAACTTGCTATTAAAAACCTGGGTTATTTTGAAAGCTATGAAATGTGATGGCACTTACCTTAAAAACCCCTGTCACTGTATATGCATGGCCCTGAACAATACCATTGGGTAATACATTCTCAGATTTTTCCTGATATGGTAAGAAAAAAGAGACGTATCATATCAGTAATGCTGCCAAAGTGAAATATGTAGCAGGAAATTTAAAAAAAAGCATTGTTTTATGTATTACTAATGCTCTACATTGTGCCCTGCATCATACATTGTAAAAATGTTCACGGTATTCATTTAGATTTAGTTAGACTTTGAACTCTTTAATGCAAAACCTAACAAAATGCTTCAATTACAGTGCTTTAGATCAGTGGTTTTCAAACCGGTCCTGCAAGCACCCCAAGCACCTCACATTTTGTATGTCTCCCTATATCTGACACACCCATTTCAGGTCTTGCAGTCTCTACTAATGAGCTGATGAGTTGAATCAGGTGTGATAGATAAGGGAGACACAGAAAATGTGCTGTGCTGGGGGTGCTCGCAGGACCGGTTTGAAAACCACTGCTTTAGATGATCAAGATGATAATATCTGTTAATGAAAGATCAAGCCTTAGGTCACTGCTTACCCCCTGATGGGAGCCACAGGCCATCAGAGCCTTTGTTTTGGCTGCACGGTCCATCAGGCTCCACAAATCAATAGCAGGTTTTTCTAGTTCAAAGCACACATGGACGCCACCGGTGAAGTCTAGCAGAGCCTCAGACACATGACCAGCATGCATGTCAGCATAGGAGCCGCACACCCTGTAAAAAGCATTCTACATATCAAGTATATACTACAGTGGACCAAACATGCTGTTGGAATACTCAAATTTTTGATGATTATAAAATGACTTATGTTTGTGACAATGTAAAATTATAAATACTTCCATCTGTAAGGCAGCTTTAAAATCAAGTTATATAAAAAAAAAAACATTTACTAAAGGCCATAAAGTCATGGTGAAATCATTTCATGTTCAATAAACAAACATAATTTGATGCTATAAGAAAAAATATTTTACCACAACATACTGGCACCTACTTGGCATAAGCTTTCTCCAGTAAGGCAGGCCAAAACTCATTAGATGTTTTTGAAAGGACAAAAACGAGTTCGCCATTGATTGTTGGAAGTTTGTCATCAATGACAACATCAATCCATTTCCCAAACCGCCAGAACTATACAAATTAAGCACAACATTGGGCTTAAGGACTGATGTCATTTTAAAACAGTATTCAGTTATACTGAAAAGACCAAAGAACTCACTCTGAATTGAAATATCCCTGCATAATCTTTGCCAGATGACTGGTCAGCTGACATGACCTGGTCCATGACGTCCTTCTTAAATGTTAAAGCCCCGACTGAAGCAAGAAACCAGCAATTTCCTAAGGTAAAGGCACAAATATTAAAGAAATAGATATTTCAATGAGTTGACCAAAGGCTTTCTGGTGTATATGCAGTGACATCATTTACGGGGTAGATATCATGGCTACTGGAGTATGTATAGAAATACATAAATAAACATACCTAAATAAGATCCTTGGGAATAGTCAAACCTGGACACCCCCTGTACAATAAGCTGAGGGTCTGCTACTATTTTCTAAACAGTGAAAATACAATGAAATTTGGCCAAGTGATTTAGGAATACCAGAAAAAGACATTTAGATTCATATAATGCACTTTGGGTCTGCTTTCAAGACACTTGAGATATCTTTCCACTATTGTAAATCAGAAATGCTGGGAAATGTGACAGGTGAACCTGTTCTGACAAGCCTACAGAGACATTTGGCCATACTTTGACAATGATTCTTTCAAACAAGTTACTGAAGGTCTGAAGATGTTAAGTCAATACAGGTAACTTACTGATGGCCTCAACCACTTGATTTGGTCCAGATCCAGTTCAAGTTTCTTCTTTGGGTCAATGGAGCTGCTGTCTGGAGGGAACTTGTCATCAACAAATCTCTTTTTATTGGTGATGCAGCTCTTCCGCAGCTCCTGGTAGTCCTGATCCAAGAATTTCAAAGGGTCGTCGAGAGTGCCTGTTTTGTCTTTTGTGGTGGATTCGTTCCTGGGTTTCTTGTTTACAAGAGGTGGAGGCATTTTTTTTTTCTAATGATAAACTACAACGAAAAACAGATAAAGGTGTCACGTCTGGCGAGATGTCACAGCTCTATGTTATGCTATGTTTTGTTTTCAAAGGCCTAAAAGATAAGGGACTTGTTTGAGAGTGTAATCTTATCCCTTTGAAAGACATCTCTTGATAATTATTCAGTGACATACAATATAATCAGTGGATATATTCAATTTTGAAGATATAAATAATATACTTTACCTTCAAGGGTAACAACTCACCTAAATGAGCAGTCTTCTCCCACTAGATTTAACTTATTCTCTTTGCTCTGACTCTGGAACTGTGCTCAGACTGAATGATGTTTTCAGGAAGTGTGCAGTGTTTTGTTCTACACAGTGTTGCCAGATTGGAAATGTCCAAGTATCGTACCAGAAGCTCAAAATGATCGTATTTGGAAGAAAAGTATCGTACATGAGTCAAACGTACAGAATACAGCTATTTATCTAGACCAACAACTTTTTGACACAACCTGCAAATTACCACAATAGATAAAAAAAACTAGATAACTCCACCTGTGAGTCTCTGTCATCGGAAGCCTGCGTGTTGCCAGATGTTGAGGGGGTTCTTGCCGTCATGGACCGCAGGATAGTGCACCTAAATTCTTAACACACTCTGAGGTGTGCACGAGCGCATTTATAGTGTCTGTAATGAGCCGATTTCGTGGGTGAGTATAGAAACCCTATGATTACAACTACCATCATTTGAAGAGTCACAACATTCTGAAATTATCCTACATTATGGGATTTTTTTAAATTATTGATCGTACATCGTACAACGGTCAAAATTATCGTACACATACGATAATTATCGTACGTCTGGCAACACTGGTTCTGCATAGAATGTCACTGCACAAGTATACCATTGCGCGAACTAAAAGAGATGCCAAATTCCTCCCACCACTGTTATATAATTACATAACAGTAAATTCCACCACTATATATAGACAATAACTATAAAACTCAATATAGAAAAAAAATCAATATAGGCAAATAAAAGCCGTTTGAATCTCAAAGGTTTTAGAATTAACTTAGAAATAAAAGTCAATGTTTATATAATAGGTCATTAATAAAGAAACTGCATCTGATTAGTCCTTAATAAATTATATATGAGATCAAGAAAATACAGAAACTCAAGCTATTGATCTCTTCACAATCCTCATTTTCACACCTGAGACTTAATATGAGCCCATAAACCACCAAACCCAGTCTATGTATTATTTTAAATTAATATGTAGTTTATTTAGAGGGGATATGATCAGGTGGTCTGAGGTAGAATCCTTTGAAAATTATTTCGGCTTTATGGGAATTCTTATGAACATAAAACAACATAAAATTATGTGACAGTTATAGCAGTAATAGAAAAAATAACTTAAAATAAAAAAAATAACTTAAAACTAGATCAAGTAATATGAAAAGAGATATAAAATAGCATAAATGAAGTACAACTCAGATGTACGTTTGCTTTCTTTAAGCAATTTTTATAATGCACAATACAAACTTGAGCTGTTAGGCTCGAATGACAAAAATTCCATTGGCATATTCCTTTCAATCTGCAATTCTGAAGCATAGTGTTTGTATGCACAACATCCTGTCTAGATCTATGCATTAAACAATGATTTTGAGAAACTGCTTTGTACTCATTTGTAAAACAGAACTGAAGTACAAAATCTATATATTTACGTAAAATTACATGACCATGGACTGAATGTTTTGCACTAAAGTAAAAAGAAAAAATAGCTCGTATAAAATCAATGCACTAGTGTCTTTCCATTCAACTGGTGTCCCACTAATTGATCTCATACAATGTCATGACAGGTTTCTAATTTCTCCTGTGGGTTTCACTCCTTAAGAAGATGGACAGCATGAATTTTCCAGACTCATTAGGATTGAAAGTGGATGGTACAATGAGATACTCTCCTGGTTCAAGCTTGAAGAATTTCATCACATGTCTTGCTTGGGTAAATTTCTCACTAGCTTCCACAGGACGTTTATTGTAGAAGAACTTGGCTGGAACTTCTCATCTTTCATCTAAAGGAGAATGAAATATAAACTTGTATTGAAGCAACCACTTTATTTAGAGCTAAAAATAGTTAATAGAGTAATTAAATAAATATTTGTGTATTAGATTTTACTTGCCTCTGGTGGTATCTGTTAAAGTAGAAAACAGAATAATAACACACCATTAATAAGTGGAAACCAAAATAGTTATATTCTTTGACTTCTGTTACTGACCACAAAAACACTGAAGCCAATGGCGTAGTTAGAAACAAGACTTCTGTATCTGTTCTCATGGATCTGCATGAGGGACACCAGTATGTTTTCAGGACACTGGCCACTAGCACATTCCTCATCAAGCTCCTCAATCCTCATCCGAAACTGAGGGTTCGTCCAGAAAGAGTCTACAAGACATCCATTGAATCAGAGCTCTGTGGTACATAGAGTATACATATATACAGGATGCACACACGCACACACACCATATGGCCAAAAGTATGTAGATAGCTTGTTCAACATTTAAATCAAACACCATGGACCATTAATTTCATGTTGCATATGCATGCTGTATCTAATATTTGTATTAATAAAGTATTTGTGTTATATGCAATTGTATGAAATGATCACTTGCCTCTCTCTCTCTATGCACATATGAGCTACCTTTATTATTGATGCAGCCACCAGCTGTAGTCCCAGATTCCCAACTGCCATTGTAGCGTGCTGTTGTCCAGCTGCATTTAGAAGAGCTGTCCAGAAAATCAGGACTGAGGCAGCAAATGTCAATGCCCCTAAAGTTTTCAGTGAAGTCCTCCATTGACATCCTACAGTAAAATATGTGTTACTGAAAACATTTGATTCATGTTTAATGCAGCAAAAGATCAATCTGAAACTACAGTTAATGCCTACCAGAACTCTCCGTCAATGGCCAAAGAACGACATTTGGATTGGTCTCCCTATTGTGTTGTCAATGTTAAACGAATTGTATCCTGACAAGATGAATAAAAATGGGTTCACAGCGGGTGAACAAAGAGTGAATATATAGCGGGAGCGGGTGGGTGCGGAATAGAAACTTGCGGGAGCGGGACTAAAAAAACAGTCCCGCGCAGACCTCTAGATCAGTGGTTTTCAAACCGGTCCTGCAAGCACCCCTAGCACCTCACATTTTGTATGTCTCCCTATATCTGACACACCCATTTCAGGTCTTGCAGTCTCTACTAATGAGCTGATGAGTTGAATCAGGTGTGATAGATAAGGGAGACACAGAAAATGTGCTGTGCTGGGGGTGCTCGCAGGACCGGTTTGAAAACCACTGCTTTAGATGATCAAGATGATAATATCTGTTAATGAAAGATCAAGCCTTAGGTCACTGCTTACCCCCTGATGGGAGCCACAGGCCATCAGAGCCTTTGTTTTGGCTGCACGGTCCATCAGGCTCCACAAATCAATAGCAGGTTTTTCTAGTTCAAAGCACACATGGACGCCACCGGTGAAGTCTAGCAGAGCCTCAGACACATGACCAGCATGCATGTCAGCATAGGAGCCGCACACCCTGTAAAAAGCATTCTACATATCAAGTATATACTACAGTGGACCAAACATGCTGTTGGAATACTCAAATTTTTGATGATTATAAAATGACTTATGTTTGTGACAATGTAAAATTATAAATACTTCCATCTGTAAGGCAGCTTTAAAATCAAGTTATATAAAAAAAAAAACATTTACTAAAGGCCATAAAGTCATGGTGAAATCATTTCATGTTCAATAAACAAACATAATTTGATGCTATAAGAAAAAATATTTTACCACAACATACTGGCACCTACTTGGCATAAGCTTTCTCCAGTAAGGCAGGCCAAAACTCATTAGATGTTTTTGAAAGGACAAAAACGAGTTCGCCATTGATTGTTGGAAGTTTGTCATCAATGACAACATCAATCCATTTCCCAAACCGCCAGAACTATACAAATTAAGCACAACATTGGGCTTAAGGACTGATGTCATTTTAAAACAGTATTCAGTTATACTGAAAAGACCAAAGAACTCACTCTGAATTGAAATATCCCTGCATAATCTTTGCCAGATGACTGGTCAGCTGACATGACCTGGTCCATGACGTCCTTCTTAAATGTTAAAGCCCCGACTGAAGCAAGAAACCAGCAATTTCCTAAGGTAAAGGCACAAATATTAAAGAATTACCAAAGGCCATAAAGTCATGGTGAAATCATTTCATGTTCAATAAACAAACATAATTTGATGCTATAAGAAAAAATATTTTACCACAACATACTGGCACCTACTTGGCATAAGCTTTCTCCAGTAAGGCAGGCCAAAACTCATTAGATGTTTTTGAAAGGACAAAAACGAGTTCGCCATTGATTGTTGGAAGTTTGTCATCAATGACAACATCAATCCATTTCCCAAACCGCCAGAACTATACAAATTAAGCACAACATTGGGCTTAAGGACTGATGTCATTTTAAAACAGTATTCAGTTATACTGAAAAGACCAAAGAACTCACTCTGAATTGAAATATCCCTGCATAATCTTTGCCAGATGACTGGTCAGCTGACATGACCTGGTCCATGACGTCCTTCTTAAATGTTAAAGCCCCGACTGAAGCAAGAAACCAGCAATTTCCTGAGGTAAAGGCACAAATATTAAAGAAATAGATATTTCAATGAGTTGACCAAAGGCTTTCTGGTGTATATGCAGTGACATCATTTACGGGGTAGATATCATGGCTACTGGAGTATGTATAGAAATACATAAATAAACATACCTAAATAAGATCCTTGGGAATAGTCAAACCTGGACACCCCCTGTACAATAAGCTGAGGGTCTGCTACTATTTTCTAAACAGTGAAAATACAATGAAATTTGGCCAAGTGATTTAGGAATACCAGAAAAAGACATTTAGATTCATATAATGCACTTTGGGTCTGCTTTCAAGACACTTGAGATATCTTTCCACTATTGTAAATCAGAAATGCTGGGAAATGTGACAGGTGAACCTGTTCTGACAAGCCTACAGAGACATTTGGCCATACTTTGACAATGATTCTTTCAAACAAGTTACTGAAGGTCTGAAGATGTTAAGTCAATACAGGTAACTTACTGATGGCCTCAACCACTTGATTTGGTCCAGATCCAGTTCAAGTTTCTTCTTTGGGTCAATGGAGCTGCTGTCTGGAGGGAACTTGTCATCAACAAATCTCTTTTTATTGGTGATACAGCTCTTCCGCAGCTCCTGGTAGTCCTGATCCAAGAATTTCAAAGGGTCGTCGAGAGTGCCTGTTTTGTCTTTTGTGGTGGATTCGTTCCTGGGTTTCTTGTTTACAAGAGGTGGAGGCATTTTTTTTTTCTAATGATAAACTACAACGAAAAACAGATAAAGGTGTCACGTCTGGCGAGATGTCACAGCTCTATGTTATGCTATGTTTTGTTTTCAAAGGCCTAAAAGATAAGGGACTTGTTTGAGAGTGTAATCTTATCCCTTTGAAAGACATCTCTTGATAATTATTCAGTGACATACAATATAATCAGTGGATATATTCAATTTTGAAGATATAAATAATATACTTTACCTTCAAGGGTAACAACTCACCTAAATGAGCAGTCTTCTCCCACTAGATTTAACTTATTCTCTTTGCTCTGACTCTGGAACTGTGCTCAGACTGAATGATGTTTTCAGGAAGTGTGCAGTGTTTTGTTCTACACAGTGTTGCCAGATTGGAAATGTCCAAGTATCGTACCAGAAGCTCAAAATGATCGTATTTGGAAGAAAAGTATCGTACATGAGTCAAACGTACAGAATACAGCTATTTATCTAGACCAACAACTTTTTGACACAACCTGCAAATTACCACAATAGATAAAAAAAACTAGATAACTCCACCTGTGAGTCTCTGTCATCGGAAGCCTGCGTGTTGCCAGATGTTGAGGGGGTTCTTGCCGTCATGGACCGCAGGATAGTGCACCTAAATTCTTAACACACTCTGAGGTGTGCACGAGCGCATTTATAGTGTCTGTAATGAGCCGATTTCGTGGGTGAGTATAGAAACCCTATGATTACAACTACCATCATTTGAAGAGTCACAACATTCTGAAATTATCCTACATTATGGGATTTTTTAAATTATTGATCGTACATCGTACAACGGTCAAAATTATCGTACACATACGATAATTATCGTACGTCTGGCAACACTGGTTCTGCATAGAATGTCACTGCACAAGTATACCATTGCGCGAACTAAAAGAGATGCCAAATTCCTCCCACCACTGTTATATAATTACATAACAGTAAATTCCACCACTATATATAGACAATAACTATAAAACTCAATATAGAAAAAAAATCAATATAGGCAAATAAAAGCCGTTTGAATCTCAAAGGTTTTAGAATTAACTTAGAAATAAAAGTCAATGTTTATATAATAGGTCATTAATAAAGAAACTGCATCTGATTAGTCCTTAATAAATTATATATGAGATCAAGAAAATACAGAAACTCAAGCTATTGATCTCTTCACAATCCTCATTTTCACACCTGAGACTTAATATGAGCCCATAAACCACCAAACCCAGTCTATGTATTATTTTAAATTAATATGTAGTTTATTTAGAGGGGATATGATCAGGTGGTCTGAGGTAGAATCCTTTGAAAATTATTTCGGCTTTATGGGAATTCTTATGAACATAAAACAACATAAAATTATGTGACAGTTATAGCAGTAATAGAAAAAATAACTTAAAATAAAAAAAATAACTTAAAACTAGATCAAGTAATATGAAAAGAGATATAAAATAGCATAAATGAAGTACAACTCAGATGTACGTTTGCTTTCTTTAAGCAATTTTTATAATGCACAATACAAACTTGAGCTGTTAGGCTCGAATGACAAAAATTCCATTGGCATATTCCTTTCAATCTGCAATTCTGAAGCATAGTGTTTGTATGCACAACATCCTGTCTAGATCTATGCATTAAACAATGATTTTGAGAAACTGCTTTGTACTCATTTGTAAAACAGAACTGAAGTACAAAATCTATATATTTACGTAAAATTACATGACCATGGACTGAATGTTTTGCACTAAAGTAAAAAGAAAAAATAGCTCGTATAAAATCAATGCACTAGTGTCTTTCCATTCAACTGGTGTCCCACTAATTGATCTCATACAATGTCATGACAGGTTTCTAATTTCTCCTGTGGGTTTCACTCCTTAAGAAGATGGACAGCATGAATTTTCCAGACTCATTAGGATTGAAAGTGGATGGTACAATGAGATACTCTCCTGGTTCAAGCTTGAAGAATTTCATCACATGTCTTGCTTGGGTAAATTTCTCACTAGCTTCCACAGGACGTTTATTGTAGAAGAACTTGGCTGGAACTTCTCATCTTTCATCTAAAGGAGAATGAAATATAAACTTGTATTGAAGCAACCACTTTATTTAGAGCTAAAAATAGTTAATAGAGTAATTAAATAAATATTTGTGTATTAGATTTTACTTGCCTCTGGTGGTATCTGTTAAAGTAGAAAACAGAATAATAACACACCATTAATAAGTGGAAACCAAAATAGTTATATTCTTTGACTTCTGTTACTGACCACAAAAACACTGAAGCCAATGGCGTAGTTAGAAACAAGACTTCTGTATCTGTTCTCATGGATCTGCATGAGGGACACCAGTATGTTTTCAGGACACTGGCCACTAGCACATTCCTCATCGAGCTCCTCAATCCTCACCCGAAACTGAGGGTTTGTCCAGAAAGTCTCTAAAACACATTCAGAGAATCAGGCCTGTGTCTTACACATATACACACTAAATGGCCAAAAGTATGTAGACACCCAAACACTACACAAATATGTTTACTTGTTGAACATTTAACGGTTCTCAACATTATTAAGGTCCTCAACATATTAAGATTTCACTCACTCTCATTGTAGATATTACGTACCTTTATTACTGGGACGGCCACCAGCTGTAGTCCCAGCATCCCAGCTGCCATAATAGCATGTGGAAGTCCATCTGCATGTAGAGGAACTGTCCAGAAAATCAGGACTGAGGCAGCAAATGTCAATGCCCCTAAAGTTTTCAGTGAAGTCCTCCATTGACATCCTACAGTAAAATATGTGTTACTGAAAACATTTGATTCATGTTTAATGCAGCAAAAGATCAATCTGAAACTACAGTTAATGCCTACCAGAACTCTCCGTCAATGGCCAAAGAACGACATTTGGATTGGTCACTTTCACTCACATTGTTCCATAATGATGACCTGAAAATTATGCAAAAGCATATATTACAATAATACATTGGGTTTTGTTATAGCATAATCATATTGGTATGACTGACAGTATATTCTCTACCAGGGATATATCACTGGAAATAAAATTATATCTTTGAAACGGAATATATTTGTGCAGTAATTTAAGGAAGTATTTCTCTATAAGTGACTTTTCAATAGCATGAAAATAGACAGGATGCCAAAAAGGATGAAAATAAATAGCAAAAGTTAACAATTGTACAGCAAGGATTGATGGACTGAGAGTTAGCTTAGATGAGTGTCAGTTTAAAGTCAACTTTAATAATAACCATCTATTTAAATGTTTATATTATAATAAAGACTGTTTTCATTTTAGCAGACTGGAATGTTTTACAGTGACCATGCGATGTTTGTGCTTTTGTTCTTTTTTTCCCCACCAAAAACAATGACATAATTTCCTATGACGACACTAAAGAACTGGCTTTTGTTCATTATAAAGAGACAGCCTATTACAAAAGACTGACAAAGGCAACCTGTAAACAAAAGACAACAAAAGCTGTCTTTTGTTGACAGGCGAATGCTGGTGGTATGAATGACGGTGACCGTTGGTGATATGACTCGTACAAACAAAACAACAAACAGTTAGTGTGAACGCCTTTTAACAGGACTCCAACTCCATATTGAAAACATATAAGAAAAAAAACTATTATAAACTGATTACCAATTATTCATTATTATAATTTTCATTAACAAAATAAAACATAACAGAATATTTTAAAATAAATTTTAGAATGTGTGTACATGATCAATGTTCCCTCTAATTTTTTTTCTTGCTGAGCAAAACTTTTCTCTATTGGGCGGACATTACGGCCACCTGAGCAAAAACATTCTTTATACCAGACCTGTACAGCGCGCACACAAAAAAAGTGTGTAACTTTTAACTTTAATGTGCTATTTGTATTTAATTTTACCCGTGACTAAATAATGTACATTTTAGGTTACCTGAGAAAACGTTTTTTTTTTTTTACAGTATAATACACTGCCATTCAAAAGTTTGGGATCAATAACGTTTATTAAAGAAGTTTCTTATGCTTCTGAAGGATCATGTGACACTGAAGACTGGAGTAATGATGCTGAAAATCCAGCTTTGCTTCACGGGAATAAATTATATTTTCAAGTATATTAAAATAGGAAACCAATATTAGAAATTGCAATGTTTCACAACTGGGGTTACAGATACTCAAAAAGTGTACTTAAGTACAATACTCAAGTAAATGTACTTAGTTACTGTCCGCCTCTGCTTATTTGTGATAAAAAGAAATCAATAATTTACTGATTGAACAATTGTGAGCTTAAAGGGGACTTTTAAAGTTTAAGTTTCAGAAAGTTTTTTTTCCAAGTATGGTCCTGTATGACGTCATTAAGGGCGGAATTCTTTGTATGGGCACTTCTTCCAGAAGAGCGAGCACACATCAACCAGAGCAAGATCAAGAGCAGCCCATCAACATGCTTAATTTGGGTTACGGAAGTCGTCAGGTATTTTATTTTTTTTGTTCCTGTTTTATGTTGATTTCACAGCCTGCAGACGATTGGTACGCAAAAGCTTTGTGTGCTTGTGACTCTTTGGCTCCGCCCACGGCACGCCTCCAGGAGCTCTACTGTTTTCGGAGAGAAGCCGTAAAGCTGTATATTTCTTTTATAAATCTGATAAAAATAAAGACTCTTCGGAGATATAAAGGATGCATATAGGTACTCAAGATTAACATGAGATTGGCAGAAACCGGGTGTGTGTTATGACCGCTTTAATATTTTATCCAATATAATACATATATGATGAGACATGAAGATGTATTGTATAGTAGTAATGACCCATCTAGTAAATGTTAGCAAGCTAAACCTATTATAGACCCAAAATGGTAAATAGCTACTAAAAATATGAAAAGTACAACACATAAATAACATTTTAAGTTACTTCCCTTTCTAGACAAGGAAAGTAGTAACTGATGTCATTAATACACTAGCCTGATTTTTGTTTTAATTGTCAGAATCTATACAAATAACAAATTTAAAAAAAAACACAAACATTTGCAATAAAGACTGTGAAAAAACAACGCCAGAATGAAGCCAGAAGTGTCGAACGGCAGATTTGGCCCAGAATCTGGGAAGCCAAGCATAAGAATACTAATGTAAATTTGTTAACCGACAGTAAGAATTTTTAACCGATTCATCGCCTACTTTCGTTTGCTGCATGTTTTAAAAAAAACACGCTAAATATAAAGTTTAAGTTTTTGAGAGGAAAATAAAACAGATAAGTCACGCATAAATCACATTTTATTACATTCAGAAATAATACCGTCAGGCCTAAAGCGTAATGTTACAATTAACCAACAATATAAACACTATAGTCTATTTTAGTTCCCCTCACTCCACAACAAATCCTTTAAACTTAACCGTATTCACAACAGAACAAGAATTAAAAATATATAATTTATT